TAGCTGACTATGTGTCTGGCACCCCATCTGCATCATCACCCTGGATCTTCACAAGAAACTTCTAGACCCGTATTCCACAGAGGTGGAAACTGAGGCTCAGAGAGGTCAAGTCACTTGCCCAAGGCAGTACAGCCAGTAAGAGGCACAGCTGGGGTCTGAGTCCAGGTCTCCTCTGAACCCCAAACCCATGCCCTCAATCACTCCTGCTGTCGAGTCTGGTCCCATTAGCTCACATGAGTCCTAAGACCCAAACAGACACTCTAATGGTGTTTTGTCTCTTTCCCATAAGCCTAGCCACATCATTTATCTCCAGGAAAATAAAGCACCAGAATGTCAAAGAGAAGAAATCATGAAAAAGATGCTATTAAAAGTAAATTGGTCTCACTGCCCACCAATTTTTGTGTACCAAACCCTTTGGGATGTTCTTATTCTATCCCCAGATTGTTCCCCAAAAGAGTGGCCACACGTCCTGATTTTGCCTATTGTCCCAGCCCAATGATTCCTAGTACCCCATTCACTCCGAACACTGCCCCCACATTTATTTGACAAGAAATTATGCTCTCACCCTATCTATGAAAAGGCAAAGAAGCCTCACATATCAGGTCTTTGGCAACCCTGACACACCATACTGAGCGAAGTACTGCAGCTCTCCCAAAACACAGTGTGCTCCCAGAGGAAGAAATAAGGATAAACAGATGAGGAATATGATTTAGAGAGGATTCCTAGTACAACCCAGCTTGTTTGAAACTGGAGTGGTCTCAGAAGAAGAGTGGAAGAATGCATGGAATGCAGAGCTAGCCCTAGTTGAGAGTGGGGAGGGTTGAGGACTTGATCTGTGGCAGGTGAGTGTCGGGGAGCAGGTCGACAGACACCCACGGTGATTGCAAAGCAACGGGACCATAGAATTGCCTCCAAGACCAGGAGGCTTACTGATAGGCTCCCTGCGTGGCACTTCATTCAGTCAGATGTGGAGTTGGTGGCCTGTGATGTCAGCCATGCGGTGACTACAATAGACCCTCCCGCTGGTGGTCAACCGTCATTGTCTGTTCCTCACATCCACTGGCAGTTGCCTCCGAGATGGCTGAGCCTTCTGAGACGACCTCCGACAAAGGCCTGAACACCAAGGAGGCCATAGCGGCCAACATCACTACGGCTCACAAGCAGAAGAAGAAGACAAGCAGCTGATATTTCTGTTTTGACCTTTCCTTGTTTGTTTTGTTTTCTGTAAAGTAAAGGTCCTTTTCAGTTAAGTATCACCAAGATTATGACACAACGAAGGATGCATGAGGTGTTTCCAAAGAGGTGGAAAGTAGATTTCACAACGTGGAGTGGCTTTTGTTGTTATTGCCATATGGGTCAGTTTGAGCAGACACAGGAGGTTATCTTTGTTTTGGTCAGATTTTTTGTTCTTCATTTTTGTCAAGCCAAGTTTTAAGGCTAGCTCTCATACCATGATTTGTCTTTTTTTATATTTAACCATTTTATCAATCGGTCAGAATGAGAAATCTCTAAAATCCTTTTAATATAATTTAGCAGGTTAATTTAGAGAATCAATCTATTGGCCATTGACAATTAGAATTCTCAATAGTGTACTGAAGTTCAATTGTGACTGGATGCCATGCCCTTTTCAGAGAAGAAGTAATCCCAAAGATTCCCCCTGTTCCCTGATATAGGCTAAGATAACAAATGACTCGTGGAATTGCAGTTTGCCACCACGCGCTAGCTAGACCAGCGGTCCCCAACCTTTCTGGCACCAGTGACAGGTTTCAGGGAAGACAATTTTTCCACGGAATGGCACTGGGGGAATGGTTTTGGTATGACTCAAGTTCATTACACTTATTGTGCAATTTATTTCTATTATTATAATATTATAATGTGTAATGGCATAATTTTACCACTCACCATAACTGAGAATCAGTGGGAGCCCTGAGCTTGTTTTCCTGCAACTAGACAGTCCCATATGGGGGTGATGGGGGGACAGTGACAGATCATCAGTCATTAGATTCCAATAAGGAGCATGCAACCTAAGATTCCTCCATCTCCAATGAATCTATTAGACTCCTGACCCCTCATCTCTCTCCTACTTGAAGATAGGCCCTTCACTGGGGTACTCAAGTTCAATTGCATTCATTAGGGTGTGCTCTAACCAAAATGACTAGCAAGCATTTTGCATACCAAAAGGGGAAATTCAGACACAGAGACCTGTGTCCAGGGAAGAAAATACGAAGTGGCATGTAGAGAAGTGGGTCATTTACAAGCCAAGGAAAGATCCCTGGAAGAGATCCTTCCCTCTTACTACTCAGAAGGAAACAACCCAGCTGACGTTTTGATTTCGACTTCCAGCCTGCCAAAACATGAAAAATAAATTCCTGCTGTTTATGCCACCAGGTTTTTGGTACTTTGTCAGAATAGCCCTAGCAAACTGCTAGAGATTCTGTTGCCAAGCAGTGGGATGATGCAATAAGGAATATCCGAAAGACTGGAAGAGGCCTTGGAATTAGGAAATGCATAGAGGCTGGAAGCATTTTGATATGCATAATACAAGAAGTCTAGAGTGCCTTTATGAAACAGTGGAGGGAAAATATGAACCCAAATGCAATTGAAAGGAGGATTAAGAAAGAATACTTTGCTTTAGAGAAAGGATCTCTGATGTAGAGAATACATATATCATAATCACAGAAATGTTGCTAGAACTATGTGTGTTAAAGGTGCTTGTGGTGGGTTTTCGGACGGAGACTAGAAAGAGGTTACTGGAAGCATGAGGAAAGGCGATCCTAGTTTTACAGTGGCAAAGGGTTGGGCTGTATTGTGTTCTTAGTGTCTTTGAGGAAAGTAGAAATTGTAAGTGATGAACTTGCACATGCAGCTGATTTCTAGTGTTTGAGCTCTGGGCACAATACCCCAAAATAAGGACTTCAGAAGTAGTCTTGGATGAAAAATATTTTATCTGACGTTCTTGGTCCTCCTGTCTCTCAGTCCCATTCAGCCCGGGGGGCTAAACATAGAGAACAGACTCCCACTTCTGGAAGGTGGGTCCTAGAAACCAGAAGCCCATTTTTCTAAAGAGTGTAAAAAAAAAATAGAAATGGTATTGTGATATTTTCCATATTTTCATGTAAAAACTGTCCATGAAGAAATGAGCTAACCTATCTTGTTTGAATGGAAGTCACGAGACCCCCATTCCAGAGAGGGTCCTGCCCCATATCTGGGAGGAAGGACTGTGTGCTCAAATAGGCCAAGCAGAGTCTAGATGGATGGACCTTGGCGGGTTTCCCCCACTCAGTCTATGAGCATTAGATCGTAGCCTTTTTGTCCCATCATATTTCTACACAGCTGTCCATACTCCTTTGAGCCCAGGCATAAAAATAGATAATCTCCCATCTATCTTTGGTTATTAACATTAAAGGCTCCCGGGGATACACATTAAATAAGTTGATATGCCTTATGTCCTATGGCTCTCCCTTTTGTGACTTCAGTTTTCAGCGAAACTTAAGAGGACCAGGGAGAACCGTGGCCACTATACTGAAAAACTTAGAAAAATATTTAGGACTTAATCTGGTTTCTTCCAGATCCATACAGTAAATGGGAGAGAAGAGAGAGAAATTAGCCAAGGAAACATTGAAGAAAAGAAAGCCATCACTGGATGATTCAGAAGCTACTCAAAGTATGCAGATACCTTGCTCTGGAAACAGGTGCAAGGGAGTGCCTGGAAAACCATTAGCTAAAAAGGTGAGGCAGGTGGCTCACAGATTCAATCCACTATCTCTGCAGAAGTTAGGTATTGAGATATAGGAGATATGGGTATTCAAGAAAGATCTGTAGACAACTTCTTGTCTGATGGCCCGGACTCACACGAATTCCATGGAAGGCCAACAACTTTTTCAGAATTTTATACCAGAAAAACTAATAAAATACACCTCCATCAACAGCATTAAAATCATACAACCCATCGAGGAACCAAAGCAGCACACCCCTCTAATCACAGGTTTCCCCTTCAACTCCCATTGAACATCCCTGGACAACTAATTCTTCCTAGTTCATACCGGCAGACCTGATCATACTTTGGGCTGTGGCTTCTCGGCTGCAGGTGCCTCACTGGCTGACACAGATCCGAGTGGAGCTTGTGCTGCTCCATCGGACACCATTCCATCATCCCTACGATGCACAGAGGCCAGGCATGAAGGTCTCCAAAAACAGAAGATTCTAGCCTGAAAAAAAGCAGAATCAGATAAATCTGAAAAAGTGGGATTCCATTTCTAGGGAGCCTAGAATAGGTATTGTTCCTTAAACTTTTTGATGTCATTTTCTCTGTACTGTCTTTGGGTCCTTGCTCATGTTTACGAATGAACTCTACGGTACAGGGAATGTTGATGAAAATATTGATTAGACTATGTTTGTCTTATTCATCCTATTTTCCATACATTAATACTTCTTATTAGTTGTTTATGCCATAAAGCTGTTTCCTTTACTTCGTGTTTTCAGTAAGTCACCGCTTGACATCACGATTGCTCACTAGGTTCCCCTTCTCCTCAATCACCCGCTGAAATGCTGTAGTAGATGTGTGAGCGTCCTCTGCCGATCTTCACGTCAAAGCAACCTTTTTCTCTTTCTTCCTATAACTCACCGGCATCAGTCCCCTTGAAGTCTCACTCTTCACTCCCCACAGCCCAATCAGAGTTCATTGTTTGTTTGTTTTTTATTATTATTATTATTATACTTTAAGTTCTAGGGTACATGTGCATAACGTGCAGGTTTGTTACATATGTATACTTGTGCCATGTTGGTGTGCTGTGCCAATCTTTCTGTCAAATGGGACATACCAATAAATTTCTAAAGTTATCCTTGCATGTCTACTGGGTAATTTGACGTCTTTTTCAGAAACCATATCCATTAGGATATTTTACCCTGGAGTGTGTTTTTTCCATTTGTAAATTCAGAAATGAACGAGGAGCATTAGTAAAACAGGGTTAACAATTACCCAGTAGACATGCAAGGATAACTTTAGAAATTTATTGGTATGTCCCATTTGACAGAAAGATTGGCGCTTTAAAGCAAAACAATTAGCATAATGAGAAGTAAGTCACTGGGTGAGATGTGGTACTTTGGACCAGGTACACAGCTCTGTCTCTGCAAAGGAACAGGGTTCTGCCAAGCGTCTTTGGTTTTCAAAGTGTTGCTTCGAACATGTAGGACGACCTGGCAGCACTGTCCAGAGCGATTTAGTTGTGGCTGATTTCCTGGGGGTTTTTTTCTTGGTCTCCTTGTGCAGTCAGCATTTCTCTTCAACTATTTTCATAACATTTTTCTAATATTCTGTAAAAACAGAAAGCAACAAATCCTGATGAGAGGACTTCTTGGCTCTACATCCTTTCTCTATGGATCCCAAGTGGAGCTCTGGTGGTGACCTTCCCCCGCTTCCCAACTGCACTACTCAAGGAAGCTCTGGTTACTCTCCTGCCCTGCCCCCGTTTCCCTCATGACCAAATGGTCCTCTGTCAAAGGTGGAATAATCTATGTGGCTATGTGTTGGGTCCCTCTAGGGTGGTTCTTTCACACTTCTGATGGGCTCAAGAAAATTTTGGTTGTTGTCATTTATCCAGCTTTCATTTCATGGTTTGACTGAGAGTGCCATCCTTTATTGGTTTCTACATATGAAAGAGAAGGGTTGCTTATGAGATGTTTCAAAATTCACAGGAAACATTTGACGAAAATGGCGACATAAGGAGTTTCAAGGCACAACATAATAAATTCCTGTGGGTTGCAATCCCAGAGTACGTTCTCCTGTCCACATTCTCGGGTGGCTGGACATCCATTAAGAAGGAAATCAATGGGAAATTCAGAGGCTGATCTAAAATTCAGCAATACACTTATAGGAAAAAGTGCTAAAAATACAAAGACTTGGGACCCAGAAGAAAGCACAATGAAAGCTAACCAATATTAACATTAACATGAATATTAATATGCAAATCTCTTGAGGAAATAAGCATTATCTGACTTCCCCTTAATGTTGACCATGCTCTGTATAACTTGATGCTAGGGGCAAGGAACATATACTACTCCTAGCTTTGGATTCATATCCATAAATGACCATGATGACAAGCACTAGAAACAAAAACATCAGGTAAAGATCACAACCCTGTCCCCGCAATCACCAGGCTGCATATCAGTGCATGGTTATTGTGAGTTCAGCCTGCTTCACTCCCCCCACATTGGGAAGTTGACTTTGCTCATAGACTGCAGGTCACTACTTGGCTGCACCACTGAACACTAGGGCATGAACCATTTCCGTGGACACTCCCTAAGCCTACTGACACAAACCTGGAGGTAACAAAGGTTTCTGTTTAAAAAGAAATGAAAAGATATTGTCATGCAAAAAAAAAAAAAAAAATGAACTGCAATAGTGATCTCAGAGTCAAGGAAGCCGGAAAGTAAATGGACTCTTGAAAATTTTATTTAGCTATATGTACACTGTAACTGGGCTGCATTTGCTTATTTACATGGATTGGTGATGGAATAGGGGCTGAAAATGTTTAGGAGGGTTACCTTGCTTCCTGTATCAGCATATTCATTTTCTCTGTTGCTGTATGGCATATAGTGAAGTTCTGGAAAATTTCACCATCCAGTCACAGGAGAATGAGAGAGAAAAACGTAAAGATCAATGCAATAATAATATCACCATGAAGATAACCTACAAACAAAACTAATAAAAATGACCATTTAGGAAACTGAGGAAATGAAATGCAATCACAGAAACACCAGCTACTTTTCTTGGAGCAAATTGCACTACAGATATTTTGGAGTTGACAATTTTTAGTACTGAGGTAAAAATGCTTGAAAAATCGCAGGATGTCACATGCCACATGGCCCCCAAGTCAGAAGGGCACCACCCGCCCCAACCTCCAGTGGGGTCCCTCCCTTAGCAAGCCACTGGTCTTTTGGGCTATGTTGGGTGGCTCTGAAAAGACTCTTTGGGTTTCCGTGGTACTCGGGCACTCCTGAGGGAGCAAACTTGCTCCTGGTGTACCTGAGGACAGCCTTCGTGCCTTCGGACTCTGCCAGCTTGCCCATCTCCCCCGGCAGCAGCAGGCGCACAGCGATCCGGGTCTCCCAGGCGGTGATGGTCTGGCGCTTGGTGGAGCGGGCCAGGCGACCAGCCTCGGTGGCAATGCGGTCCAATATGTCATGAACCAAAGAATCCATGACACTCACAGCCTCCCGGGAAAGGCTGAGGCCCTGGTGAACTTTCTTCAGCACCCGGCGGAAATAGGTGGCGAAGCTGTCCCCGCGGCAGTCGGCGTGGCACCTGCGGGGCCCACGGCACCCTCGCTTCCTCTGCTTGCTCTGCTTCTGGGCCATCGTAGAGTTGGCCTCTTTGGGCTCCTGGGTGATCAGCTGTTCCTCAGAGGTCGTCTCAGAGGAAGCTTCAGCCATGGCGGAGGCAGCAGCCATCAGACGGCAGGACCAGACAATGGCGGTTGTGGATCGGGGAAGTGGGGGCATTTGGGTACGCAGCATGGCTCCACGCCTCGGGCCAGCTTCACGTCTGATTGGATGAAGTGTCACGCAGGGAGCCTCTCAGCAAACCTACTTGCGTTGAAGGTGACTGGATGGTCCCGTTGCTTGGCATCTCATCAACCAATCACAATAGGCATCTGCGGGCCTAAGCGCCCCTTGTGGCCTAGCTCGGAGAAAGTTACACAGACAGATGTCCCACAGGGAAAAAACACGTTCGCCGTCTTCAGTTGATCCATACCACACCGTGAGCACTTTGAAGGGTGTCACTGAAAACTCCCAAAGTTTAGCAATTTCAGCTCATGATCCTTGAAGAGAGACAGACCTCCTGAACCCAAGTCCATTATGCCAGAGGAATGACTGTGGCCACGTGTGGAACAATTCTCACCCATCTCAGAATCTACTGTTATCCTGGGCTAAGCCACCCTGGCTTGAGCAGGAACTCCCTGACATGGCCACTGAGGGTTCCTAGGCATCAAAGGACCTGGTGGTGTGGCTCCTAGCTTCAGTTCTGATCAACATCTTCCGTGAATCAGCAGAACGAGAAATGGCCATACCTCAGCCTCCAAGCAGACAATAGAAACAGAAAGGCGCTTTTGTTAAAAACACATGACAACACTCAACATTGACCAGGTTTAAAAAAACATTTAAAAAAGGAAAACAAAACAACAACCACAAATCACAACTCGGAAGCTGGAAATGGCTAACAAGTTTAAGAGGTACTGGGTTAAAAAATATCACCTTAAATATCCTAGGAAGCCCCTGAGAGAGAGAGTCAGGGATTCCAAAATGAAAATTATTTTCAAGTTAGAAAGATGGCTTTCAAGAGCCTCTGATAATATATGCAAAGACATTCCTTAAATGCCTTTAAGTAACATTAATTTGCAGGAATTGAACAAGAAAGATTCTTAAGAAATGCTGAAGAAATAAAGGTCATCAATGAACTGTCATTTCAAAGGTTAGGCTTTCAAGTGTATTTCCTGTAATGTCTTTAACAATTTATTCTACTCCTAGTAAATCGGTTCACTATTAAGAAGGACAAATAAGCTCATTTTTGTTATTAGATAACATCATATATGGTAAACTCTGTGACTGAAGTCTAGTAAACAATTTCTGAACAGTCCCCTTTACAAATGATGATTTTATAAATCTACTTAAATGTTTAGCAAGCCAGTCCTTCTCTTAGTTTGGTACAAGGCACAAGAGACCTGTCCACAACAATCTCTGCATTCATATCAGTAAGTCAGCATGACAGTTTTCTTTTAAAAAAAAAAATCAAACAAACAACAGGGAAAGAGCCACATCATTTTTCTTCACAATTTGCAAGATTAAACATCCCAGGGAGGCTCTCATGGGCTCATTTCCGGATCACCTCCCCAAACTTTCAGTCATGGCTGGTGGCGGCTCAAGGACTGGAAAGCCTTTATTGCCTGAGCCAGTGGTGACTATGGCATGACCTACTCTCACAGGATGCTCCCATCATCTAAGTGATGCAAAATTGTAACATATAGTCCTTAGTCCTTATTTTGTTTCTTTAGTTTCTTTAATTCTTTTGTTTTTTTTGGGTTTTTTTGTTTGTTTGTTTGTTTTGTTTTTGAGACAGAGTCTCACTCTGTCACCCAGGCTGCAGTGCATTGGTGCGATCTCGGTTCACTGCCACCTACGCCTGCTGGGTTCAAGAGAGTCTCCTGCCTCAGGCTCCCCAGTAGGTAAGACTACAGGGATGCACCACAACACCTGGCTAATTTTTGTACTTTTAGTGAAGTCGGGGTTTTATCATGTTGGCCACGCTGGCCTTGAACTCCTGGCCTAAAGTGATCCACCCACATCGGCCTCCCAAAGAACTGGGATTACAGGCATCAGCCACTGTGCCCTGCCTGTTTCCTTAATTTTTAATACAGTCATAATCTTTATTGCATCAGGCTGTTTTCTGTTTTAAGTTCAGGAGTACATGTCCAGAATGTACAGGTATTTTAGAGAGGTAAACGTGTGTCATGGGGCTTTGCTGTGCCGGTTATTTCATCACCCAGCCATTAAGCCTAGTAACCATTAGTTGATCCTCTCCCTCCTCCCACTCTCCACCCTCCGATAGGCCCCAGTGTGTGTTGTTCCTCTCTATGTGTCCATGTGTTCTCATCATTTAGTTCCCACTTATAAGTGAGAACATGCGTTATTTGTTTTTCTGCTTGTATTAGTCTGTTCTCACGCTGCTATGAAGAAATAGGCAAGACTGGGTTATTTATATAGGAAAGAGATTTAATTGACTCACAGTTCCACAGGGCTGGGGAGGCCTCACAAAACTTACAATTATGGTGGAGGGAAATGCAAACGCGTCCTTCTTCACGTGGTGGCAGGAAGGAGAATGCAGAGCGAAGGGGGAAGCCCCTTCTAAAACCATCAGATCCTGTGAGAAATCACTCACTATCTTGAGAACAGCATGGGGGAAAGCACCCCCACGATTCAATCACCTCCATCTGGTCCCACCCTTGACATGGGGGGAGTATGGGAATTACAATTGAAGGTGAGATTTGGGTGGGGGACACACAGCCAAACCATATCACTGTTCTTGCAGTAGTTTGCTAAGGATAATGGCCTCCAGCTCCATCCAAGTCCCTGCAAAGGACATGATGTCATTCTCTTTTATGGAGGCATAGTATTCCATGGTATATAGGTACCAGAGTTTCTTTATCCAGCCTGTCGTTCAGAGACATTTGGGTTGATTTCATGTCCTTGCTATTGTGAATAGTGCTGCAGTGAACATATGCATGCACGCGTCTGTATAATAAAACGATTTCTATTTCTTTGCGAATATGCCCAGTAATGGCATTGCTGGGTCGAATGGTATTTCAGACTTCAGGTCTTTCGAGAATTGCCACACTGTCTTCCACAGTGGTTGAAATAATTTACACTCCCCCAAAGACAGTGCGTAAGCATCCCTTTCTCTCCACAACTTTGCCAGCATCTGTTATTTTTGGACTTCATCATAGTACCCATTCTGACTGACGTGAGATGGTATCTCATTGTGGTTTTGATTTGCGTTTCTCTAATATCAGTGATGTTGACCTTTTTTATTTGCTTGTTCGTCCCATGTATGTCTTCTTTGAGAAATGTCTGTTCATGTCCTTTGCCCATTTTTTAATGGGGTTGTTGGTTTATTTCTTGTAAATGTGGTTAAGTTCCTTACAGATGCTGGATATTAGAACCTTGTCAGATGCACCGTTTGAAACAATATTCTCCTATTTGGTAGGTTGTGAGTTTACTGTTTGGAGAGTTTATTTTGCTGTGCAGAAGCTCTTTAGTTTTACTAGATATCATTTGTCAATTTTTGCTTTCGTTGGATTTTTTTTGGCATCTTAGTCAAGAAATCTTTGCCTGTTAGTGGTGTCCATGTCCCAAATGGTGTAGCCTAGGTTGTCCTCCAGGGTTTTTATACTTTTGGGTTTTACTTTTAAGTCTTTAATTCATATCATGTTAATTTTTGTATATGATGTAAGAAAGGGGGTCCAGGTTCAATCTTCAGCATATGACTAGCCAGCACCTCCAGCACCATTTATTGCATAGGAAATCCTCTCCACATTGCTTGTTTTTGTCAGGTTTGTCAAAGATCATATAGTTGCAGGTGTGCAGTCTTAATTTCTGGGTTTGTCTCAAAATAATAATAATAATAATAACAATAATACTAATTTCTGGGTTCTCTATTCTGTTCCATTGGTCTGTGTGTCTGTTCTTGTACCAGTACTGTAGCCCTGGAGTATAGTTTGAACTCGGGTAGCGTGATGTCTCTAGCTTTCTTCTTTTTGATTAAGATTGCGTTGGGTTATTTGGGCTCTTTTGTTGGTTTTGCGTGAATTTTAGGATATTTGTTCCAGTTCTGTGGAGAATGTCAATGGTAGTTTAATGGGAATAGCATTGAATCTGTAAACTGCTTTGGGCAGTATGGTCATTTTAATGATACTGATTATTTCTATGCAAAAGCATGGAGTATTTTTCCATTTGTTTGTGTCACTTCTGATTTCTTTGAGCTGTGGTTTGTAGTTCTCCTTGTAGACAGCTTTCACTTTCTTGGCTAGCTGTCTTCCTAGGCATTTTATTCTTTTTGTGAAAATGTGAATGGGAGTTCGTTCGTGATTTGTCTCTCGGGTTCATTGTTGTAGATGTACAAGAGTGCTGGTGATTTTTACACATTGATTTTGCATCCTGAGGATTTGCTGAAGTTGTTTATTAGCTTGAGAGGCTTTTGGGCTGAGGTGATGGGAATTTCTAGATACAGGATCATGTCATCTGAAAACAGGGACATGATTTTGACTTCCTCTCTTCCTATTTGAATGCTCTTTATTCCTTTCTCTTGCCTGATTGCCCAGCCCCGAACTTCCAAGACTATGTTGAATCAGAGTGGTGAGAGAGGGCATCCTTTTCTTGGGTCAGTTTCCAAGGGGAGTGCTTCCAGCTTTTGCCCATTCAGGATGATGTTGGCTGTGGGTTTGTCATAGATGGCTCTTATTATTTTGAGGTGTGTTCCTTCAGTACATAGTTTATTGAGAGTTTTTAATATGAAGGGTGTTGAATCTTATCAAAAGCCTTTTCTGCAGCTATTGAGATAAACGTGGTTTTTCTCTTTAGTGCTGTTTATGTGATGAATCATAAGTGTTGCTTTGCATATGTTGAACCAACCTTGCATCATGGGGGTCCCGGGGATGAAGCCCACGTGATCGTGGTGGATACGTTTTTTGTTGTGCTGCTGGATTCGGTTTGCCAGTATTTGATGAGGATGTTTGCATCAATGCTTATCAAGGATATCATCCTGAAGGGTTTTCTTTTTCTGTTGTTGCATTTCTCCTGCGTCAGTTTTAAACAATCATCGTTTTACTCCTCTTGTTAATTTATTCTATTGCCCTTCCTTCTTGGCACCTCCAATCATCTTCTTGTGATCATTTTACATCTCTTTAAATGACATTCTTCAGAAGTGTCTTTAACAAAGTGTTTGTTGGTATCTACATTAAGAGTTTTCCATTTCTCTCAGATCTCATCATTAGGCCCTGGAAGAAATGGACTCTGAAATAAAGTTTAGTGTGTGAGAAACTTATTTAGGGTCAATAGCTGAGGAAGGGTCAGGAGGCAGGCAGGAGTGGGCGTAGGGAGAAGTTCGTCTCCAGTGCAAGGCCAGTGGAATCCTATTGGGATCCCAGGGTGAGATCTGAAGATAAAGGGGCCCATCAGGGTATTCGCCATTGTGCCAAAATACCAGACCGTTCGACTTCTCCTGGATCAGGCAGCGTGTATGGTCAAGTCAGGTAAGAGTAGTTACGGAAATACCGGAAAGGACTAATAGCTCAGGACTGGCAGCTGCGTGCCTTCCCAACTCCAGAAACAGCAAATCCATCCTTAAAGGGGACACTGGCTCGTCCACACCTACCACAGCCTCATTTTCAAATAATACTTTAGCTAGCAATGACATTCTGTGTTGACACACATCTCCTCTGATTTTGGCTTTTATTTCTTGAAATAAGGAGGTTGGCTGCCAAACTATTTGTTCTTACTTTATAGGCCATGTAGTTGTCTTTTTTTCTTTTCTCAGCTATTGTGACTTCTGTTTTTACTTTTCTTAAGCTTTAGAAGGATGGGTACAAGTGTGCTCCCTGAAAGTAGGATATCAGGTCTTCCTTCAATTCTGTAAAATTACCAGCTATTTTCCCTTTGATAAGAATTCTTCCCAACTTGCCCAGTATTACTTATGGGATATACTATGTGCTTTTTAGTCAAATCCTTAAGGTTTATCAGTTCTCCTCACTCCTTTCTCATGTGTTATGTCCCAATGAAATTTTCATAGCGACTTTACATCTGTCTTCTCATTCTCCAATTCTCTGTCCAACTGTGCCTACTCTGCTATTTAAAATTTCTTTAATTCTGTGTTGTAGCCATTCAACTTTCATATTTTGACAAAGCTCTATGACATAGGCCTGGGCAATGATTTTTTGGATATGACCCTGAAAACGTAGGCAACTAAAGCGAAGAGTGGACAAAAGTGATGGTGTCAATTTAAAAACATTTTTATAAAACTAAATAAATAATAGAATGAGGAGACAACCTGTTACCCAATGCAATGCCTACACGACCTAATTAAATTTCTACCCTGCCTTAAGTCTGCTTGTCTTTAGGAAACAGGGTGCCTGACATCAGAATTTCACCATCGTGACCAAAGCAGCCGAGACTGATGGGATGCAACATGACAGTTCAACTGATCTTTGAGGAACCTGGAACTTCATTATAATCTAATTACCATACGAACTGACCCGCCCAACAGCAGCATGAAGATTGACAATCACCATGACAACGGCTGAAAGAAACCATGAATGGACAATAAAGAAGGTGGCATCTGTTTTCGAGAAGTTCTGCACCTATTCAGAGAAAAGACATGAGTATTCCTCCCCGTGCTTTTAATGCCCAATCCCTTCATTAAAGATCCCCTATACCTGTGATTTTCCGACCAGGGAAAGATACCACCTTTTAGGGGACCTCGTTTGTCAGTAACAAACCTACA